ACTTGTGATCTCTGTCTGTCAAATAAATAAATAAATAAATAATCTTAAAAAAAAAAAAAAAAGTCAAACTGACAGTCTATATACCAGGGAGTTGGCTATAAATGTATAACATTTATTCTAACTCGCTAGGACTCAAGCAGATGCCAATTAGAGATGTGGCTTATCACATTAGCAAAGATTAGTGGAAAGGAAAATTTAGTACCAGTAAAAGAGGGGATATGGAACCCTCACACACCACAGAGAGGGTTGTGGAGTGCTGTAACCTTTGCTAGTGGCCTTCAAAAAGACTTAGCTCCTTTTTGTTGAGTAATTTACATCTGCAAATTTATCCTAAGAAATGATTTTGCCTTTTTCTTTGATCTAGCCTTTCTATGATAATCATAGAATTACATTTTTTTAAGGATTTTAAAAAAAGATTATTTATTTGACAGTGCTGGTGGGACTCGCGAAACTCACTCACCTTGTGCCACATGCGCACACAAGGAGACCCGGGGTCATCCTCCCAGTGTCTCCGCCCGGGAAACGGACCGGGCGGTACCTAGTTCGACTCGGAAGAATTGAGCGGGAACCCGCTGCGGCGAGCGGAGTCTAGCGCTCACGAGGCGCAGCGGGACGCGGCATCCGGCCACCCCTTCTCGTGCGAGCGCCCCGCGGCGTTCAGGGCCCGCCTACCCCGGGGCGCCGCAGCGGGAGTCGCGGGGTGCGAGTTCGTTAGGGCAAAAGCGGGGTACAGGACTGAGGCACGGGGACCCCGCGCGGGTCCGGGCCCCAGGCCCGACGGTGGCAGGTAAGGGGAGTGGAGGCATACGCGGCTCGGACGTGCTCCTGGTGTTGCAGCCCCCCAGGAGAGGCCCAAGTGGTCAGGGGCTGGCTCTGCGGAGAAATGGGGCGCAGGCAGCGCCAGGGCCGGGAGCAGCTGTCTCTTCAGGTCCGCCCAGAGCGCGGGTAATGGGCTAAGGTAGGCGCAGGAACACGGCCTCCTCACCAAACCCAGAGCTCGGGCCTGCCTTACATACGGCCGCCATGGGGAATTGATTGCCGCCATTCCCCTCCCCCACTCTGGCGGGTAAGGCGAGAGAACGGTTTGAAAGAAGACGCATGCGCATGAAACTAAATCCTAAACCGCGGAGGCTCCAAGTTCAATAATCGCGGCTTGGCGCAGGCGCAAAAAGGCCCAGCGGGTTTATGGAGGTGGGAGGGGAATGAGCCCAAAACGCATGTGCAAAATAGTACGCCGGCTGTAGGGGTCCGGCTCCTGAAATTACGCATGCGTCTCAGCTCTGTGTGACTCAAGGGGGCGGTGCGGGCACTTAGCTGCGCGTGCGCAGAGCTTGTTCAAAGGGCCTTATTTAGGTTGCGCAGGCGCTTGCTGGCCATTTCTTCTCAGCCACGCCGAAGTCGTGTGTTCAGGTAAGTGTTTGTCGCTCTGTGTTTGCCGCCCAGGGGCCCCCCCGAGGGTGCCATTTTTGCGAGGATCGCCTGCCCCCAGAACTCTATAGAGCCTGGGGGGCCCTGGCAAGGTGCGGGCTGCCGCTTGGATCCAGGAAGAGCTGGCTGAGTAGCGGCGGGACCGCCGAGGCCTGCAGGCCGCGTCGACTCTATTGTGTGAGATGTCGGAGGAGGCGGAGCGGAAGCGGCCGCCGCCATTTCCTTGCCTCCACGCTGGCGCTAGGCCAGGGCCCCCTCGGCTTGGGGCAGCGGCCCCTGGTGTCCAGAGTGGTTTCGGGGGCCCGGCCTCTGGCCGGAGGGGTGTTGAGTTTTGGTATCGCCGGGGTTCGGGCGTCCGCACGGGCTCGGGTCTCCGTCGGGCCCCGCGGGCGGGCGGGCGCCTCGAGGGCGGGGGGGCAGTCTATTTTGCCCCTTTTCCCGTTCTGACGCTCGTCTCCCGCCTTGCAGTTTGTGTGGACGCCAGGACGCACTAGGAGACGATGATGTTGGGCACCGAAGGCGGAGAGGGATTCGTGGTGAAGGTCCGGGGCTTGCCCTGGTCTTGCTCGGCAGACGAAGTGCAGCGGTTTTTCTCCGGTGAGTTTGAAGCGGAGGCGGGAGTTCGCCACCGGGGCTGGCCGGCGGGCGGGCGGGCGGTAGGGCCGGGGGGGGCGGGCGGGCCGGGCCGGGCGCGCCCCCTGGCGGGGCGCGGGCGGCAGACGTTCCCGCTGGGTGGCTCGCGCTTGGCCGGCCGCTGTTACGCAATGGAAATTGCGAAAGCCCCGCCCGCCCTCCGAGCCCTCTGGGGGGTGGGGGGAGTGCGGCCTCTCCGGTGGATTTTTTGTCCTTTTTACCTGCCTGTAAGCACCGGTCTTCGTACGGCTGTCTTTTCTGAAGGATAAATGGGATTTTCTCCATCTTGGGAAATTGTCCAGCTAACTGGGCAGACAATGCTTATAACCTTTTGCGAATCCTTAAAGTACAACAACTTTCCAATTTCGGTATGTACCCGAAGCGGGGCTTTCGACTTCAGAAAGTTGAAATGTCGCTAATTTCAAAAAATTTTCCTGATCCAGATAGAGTAATTGTGAAGAGTTCTTGCTCCACTAGTTCTTGATCTGGCTCACAGTTGAGGACACTGCAGCCCAGGGAAGTTCACTTGTCTACGTAGCTTTTTTCCAGTATGCAGGTTTCCTGTATAATTTTTACCAAGATGTCCTCGTCCGCATCGTTAGTATGAGTTTAGAGTGATACAGCTATATTTGGAAAAATTTACAGGTTTTGGAAGGACACTTGTAGGATTGACTTACTATCTGAATTTAGCGTTGGTAACAGAAAACGACCTGTAAAACCAGAACCAGGTACACTGGAAGCCACCCTGCAGTGAGCAAGACTGGGTTTGGCTTCAGCTGTGCAGCTTGGAGCATTTTAGCTTGCTAACATTGATCCCCTTTTAGGTGAGTATTGGCCCTGCAATTTGGATTCACAGGAGAGATTGTATGTTGCTGCTAGTAAGGTAAAACCATGAAGTGCCCCAGACCAAAACTTGGAACCAGACTCAGAAAATGGCATAAAATGAAAGTCCAGACTTGGATGTTCAATGGAGAGGACTTGGAGATAACTTTGATAAGAAATTGCGTGAAGAAAATCAATACAATGGGAAGGTGTCCAGGGAATAAGAATGATTGGGGGGAAGATAAGTGTTTAAGTACTGGACGGCCCTGTGAGTTGGTACTGTGGTCAATCTAGGCTTTGTGGTAGCTTGCTTTGTAGCAGGGGAGTGAACAGGCGTTTCATCTGTATCACCCAGAGGTGGTTTTTTAGTTTTAAATTCTGTATTAACGGTTGTTTTCTTTCCAGACTGCAAAATTCAAAATGGGGCTCAAGGTATTCGTTTCATCTACACCAGAGAAGGCAGACCGAGTGGCGAGGCTTTTGTTGAACTTGAATCAGAAGATGAAGTCAAATTGGCCCTGAAAAAAGACAGAGAAACTATGGGACACAGATATGTTGAAGGTTTGATTTATGTTGCCCTAGTAACAGTAAATAAAATATTAAACACATAGAGCTCTATCTTACCCCTTCTGAATTTTAGGTATTTGACCGCATGGAAATGGTCAGCTAAGGGAGTTTATGGCAGCTCTTCCTAGATTATCTAAAGACCCAGGAAGTCTGAACTTTGTTCTCTAACTTTCCAAAATTGACTAATTCTAAGCACCTTTTTCAGTATTCAAGTCAAACAACGTTGAAATGGATTGGGTGTTGAAGCATACTGGTCCAAATAGTCCCGACACGGCCAATGATGGCTTTGTACGGCTTAGAGGACTCCCCTTTGGATGTAGCAAGGAAGAAATTGTTCAGTTCTTCTCAGGTATGTAGTTGTGTTTGATGCTGAGCAGTGAGTTCTGGCTAGCTTCTGGCAACATGTGACTTAATAGACCTTAAAGTCCATTAGCTTAGATACTTAAACAGGTATGAGTTTATGCAGATGAATTAAATGTTTTCTTCTTCCTGGAGACCTTCAAATAATTTAAGCCCATCTTAAAGGTGGAAATTAAGTACTTCCAAAATGCTAACTTTGCTTGTATTTAGTGTTTGTAGTTCAGAGTAGATCTTTGAGGATTGTCCTCAACAGCTTAACTACTTTCCTCACAATGCTGTTCAGCAAGGTACTTCAAGTTAAAGGTAAGATCCCTTAACGTTAGATTAGTATTAGGTTGTTATTTCTGGCAAGTGCCTGTGTCTTAAGACACATTGGGTCGTGGGCCCAGAAATGTCTCTGATGGTCTAATTCTCTTTGTGGGAGAAAAAAAAAAAACTTTTAGGGTTGGTTTAGACAGGGAATTATATGAACTTAACTAAAAGTCAGTCTAATGTAGGAGTAGTTTAAATATAGTCTAAGTATCTGAAATACATAAAGTGTTTTGAAATTACTCTGGGCCTAAAGTATTTGAATGTTTTTATGCTGAAGAGCTGATAAAATTGCATGTTTAGCAGAATGTTAAATCTTATTTTAAGTAACTATATTAATGTGATAAAGTGGAATTAAGAACAAATCCTTTCATGGTTCAGTGTAGTATGTAATAAAATCTTAGATATGTATCAAGTCCTAATATTTTGCCAGAATTTTTGAAATCAAGTCTGTTCTGATTGTTTTTGTCTAAATTGGTGAGAATTGAATGCTATCTGTCAACGTTAAATATGAACATAATTTCATATCTTCTAGGAAAGTGCTTTAAGCCCTTTTTGTAAGCTTGGGAATGTATCCACGGAAAGGATTTTTCATAGACGGAATTTCCAGAAGTGAATCATAACTACTGTTAGAGCATAAGAGTGCATGATTGTGCTGTGTAGATCAGTTGTTTGTTGGAAAGTTTAGATTGTATGTTTGTCAATTATATGACTTAAAGCTATGTTTCAATTTGTATATAAAATGTTTAAATGTGTAATTTTTAAAAAAAAGTTGAAGTTCCACTAACTTAAAACATTGAAATATAAAATGAGGTAAAAGGTGTGTTTTAAGTTTAGTAACTGTTGTATTTAATGCTTGAAACTTTATTAAATTCATGTGTAATTCTCAACATTATTTTGCATAGATTAGAGTGTTAATTGTTGAATTCTTAATGCATCCTGTGTTTCAAGTGTTTTTGTTTTTTGTTTTTTTGTTTTTGCATACTATGCCATGGGGTGTGTTAAGAATTGAGTTATACTTTGTAATAATGGAACTTCATATTACTACAATGCATATGTAAAGAGTACTTGTTGAAAACATACCATTCGCCTAAAGTTAAAATTCTGGTTTATTTAAAGCTATAAGAAGAATCATTTCTGGGCTTGTGATGTTAATATTGCCCCCCTACTGGGGTTATTTGTCCTTGGGTTGAAGGGTTGGAAATCGTGCCAAATGGGATAACATTGCCGGTGGACTTCCAGGGGAGGAGTACGGGGGAGGCCTTCGTGCAGTTTGCTTCACAGGAAATAGCTGAAAAGGCTCTAAAGAAACACAAGGAAAGAATAGGGCACAGGTGGGGATGGATGGTTGGTTGGATTTGTCACTTTTCTTATGGTAAACAGTTAAATCCATATTCTCTCTGCTTAGAAGGAAGAAATCTATTTTCTAGTCCCAATTAATATTTTGCCACAATTTTCAAATTTCCTGTGTAAAGTCCCATAATGCATTGAGATGAAAGTTTAGGTTTTAAAATTGTCCCCAGTTAATTTGATCTCCCTGACAATATTGCAAGATTCCTAATTCTAAACAGTAGAGTTGAGAGACTATGGCTTTAAACAAATGTTAATGCAAACCTGGCTTTAGCTGTAATAACACCCACCCAGTAAATTAATATTACCATAAGAAAATGTGATACTTTCTGATCTTGTTTTTAAAGTTGAAATGCAACAAACTTTTCTTGCTGTATAAATATTCTGCATATGTATTAATAAGCATAGCTTTCAAGAAATTGTCACAAAAGGTTTTATTCTCTTTGCTTGTGACTATTTTTCATTGAAGCATGCGCTTACCTATGCTGATTCCTACTAAAAGCATAGGCCTGGGGTATTATTGGCGAAAGGAAATGTGTAGTGTGGGCTAGACTGTTGGTGGAGGCTGGCTTTTTAGCCCACTTGCTACACATACTGCCAATGGATTTAAGAGCTGAAATGTTCAAAGTTGAGTGGAATTCTTTCCCTCCTAAGACATTTATTTCTAGTACTCCTCTCTACCCCTAAGGTTGGGCTCTGCCTCTGAGGAGTGAGTTTTACTCTATGAATTTTATGTTAAATCTTACAATTGAGTGAATTTCTGGTCATTGCCTATGCAAATATAAGAAATCTGGCTTTAAATATTAGTCAGTTTCATGGCTATGACTACATTGTTTTCTTGTGTAACTAAATACCTGTATGAAATGGACTAATGTTCTCTCTCCCTTCCCCATCCCCTTCCCTCATGAACAATGCTTTAGGTATATCGAAATCTTTAAGAGCAGTCGAGCTGAAGTTAGAACTCACTATGATCCACCACGAAAACTTATGGCCATGCAGCGGCCAGGTCCCTATGACAGACCTGGAGCTGGCAGAGGGTATAACAGCATTGGCAGGGGAGCTGGCTTTGAACGGATGAGGCGTGGTGCTTATGGTGGAGGTACGTGAGGACATGCAGGCATCATAAGATCTGTTCTCCTGTAACTGTTTTCATTTGGTTGATTGTACTTACTGTCTTTCAGGTTATGGAGGCTATGATGATTATAATGGCTATAATGATGGCTATGGATTTGGGTCGGATAGATTTGGAAGAGGTAAGGTAAGAATTGAATTTCTCAACTGAAGGATGCTTACACTCTCGTCAATCTAGACCTCAATTACTGTTTTTCAGGAATGTCTGATCACAGATACGGGGATGGTGGCTCTACTTTCCAGAGCACAACAGGACATTGTGTACACATGAGGGGATTACCTTACAGAGCTACTGAGAACGACATTTATAATGTAAGTGTAGGATAAACTTACCAGTTGTCTGGTTCAGGATAGCAGTAAAAATGTGGTTCTTAATCTAAGTGAAACAGTAGGTTGTAAATGGTGCTTTTTTGTAATGGTAGATCTTTGACTTCGTTCTCTGAAATACCTTGTGTTTAGTTTTTTTCACCGCTCAACCCTGTGAGAGTACATATTGAAATTGGTCCTGATGGCAGAGTAACTGGTGAAGCAGATGTCGAGTTTGCGACTCATGAAGATGCTGTGGCAGCGATGTCAAAAGACAAAGCAAATATGCGTAAGTGTGGTTTTAAGTATATTGGGGTCTCTCTAACAGACGGTTGAGTGACCAAGGTTTGTGATAAATAGTAAGGATGTATGAGAAATACGTTCTCCAACAATGGATTAGTTTTTTGGTGTGTGTTGATAAAGCATGTGGGTTTTAGAAATTAGTCTGATTGTGAAAAGGGGTTTGTGATAACCTGGTCTTTGAAGTATATCCTTAATTGGCAAACTTAAAGCAATTTAGGTGAATGTTTAAATCAGCTGGTTTTTGAAACCAGTGTAATTAGCTGAGAAGCAGCTAGAATTTTTTTTTAACCAAAAGTATTGAAATTCACATATTGTTTAAGAACTTTAAGTGCTTATCTTCTTTCACCAACAAACACTTTCAAACTTTTTTTTTTCTCATTTCAGAACACAGATATGTAGAACTCTTCTTGAATTCTACAGCAGGAGCAAGCGGTGGTGCTTACGGTAGCCAAATGCTAGGAGGCATGGGTTTGTGTAAATATCACTTTAGTGTCTTTTTTTTAAGCTAACCTTGTATACCTTTTCTCTCATTTCAGAACACAGATATGTAGAACTCTTCTTGAATTCTACAGCAGGAGCAAGCGGTGGTGCTTATGGTAGCCAAATGATGGGAGGCATGGGCTTGTGTAAATATCGTTAGTTTTTTTAAAAACCAAAACGTTTATATCTATATAAGTCGATTATGTAAGTTAAGTTAATTTATATTTTAATGAGTTTAGCATAATTAAGTTAAGCAAAGAGGTTTCAATTTGAATTTTGTGTCTGGCTTATTTAAATTCTTTTGAGTTAAAACTGTTTAGATAACTAGTTTTAAGTAGTTTTGGGGGAGGGAACTGCAGAAACTAGTTGAATTGTCTTAAGTATGAAGTAGAAGTTTAAAATGAATATTTAGTTAAAAGCACAAGGTCAGTAAAGTTTTGGGCATGGTTAATTGGGCATAATTAGGCATTTAGTGATAGCCTTGTATGACCTATCAAATTATGGGGGGAAAGCCCCACTAAATCCATTTAAGCAGTATCCTAAGGTGTTCTCAAAATGCCTCTACTTAGAGAATCGTGGATTTAGTCCTGCTGATGTGCATACTGTTGGCCTTTTGGTTTATAAATGTTTGTTTAGTTCATATGGGTAGAAAGGTAGTTTGGTCATAGGCAATAGGCAGGAGGAGGCAGAGGGTTGTAGTGATAGGAGGTCGACTGGAAAAATCATAGATTTAGAATTAACAAGCCCGGTACCACCAGGTACCACATTACATATGGAACAAGGTCCTAATGTTCTCTTAACTTAACAGCAAACCAGTCCAGTTACGGCGGCCCAGCCAGTCAGCAGCTGAGTGGTGGTTATGGAGGCGGCTACGGTGGCCAGAGCAGCATGAGTGGATATGGTAAGTGTGTTTTTTTATGTACTTGAAATAAGTTTTAGGCAGGTTTCTTTAGTTTGGGGAATATGCAGGCACCTTTTTGGCGAAACTGGGTTAATGTTTGCTTTTGATCCAAATGTAACTTGTTCTTGATAGCTTAATTTTCAGCACCAATCATTGGGAGGGGGAAGTGTTCTATGTATTAAAACTAGTCATTGCAACTTGGAATAATGTCGAGCCAGCAAACATCTGCCTCCATTTATTAAAAAATTAAACTGTTGATTTTTTTTTTCTTTTGATTAGCATTAAATCCATTTTAGATGGAGGGAGACTTTTAAATAGTAGAATGGTGGTTGGGTTTAGGACCGTATTTACTAGTCAGTTTTATCCTAGGATTGCTTTTTATTTTTTTTCAATTGGTCTAAAGAATGGTGATTTTGGTATTATAGTCTTACCCTACAAAATCCTTTTGCAGACCAAGTTTTACAGGAAAACTCCAGTGATTTTCAATCAAACATTGCATAGGTAAATATTTTCTCAAAAAATATAATTTAAATTCCCAATAGCAAATACTGATATGTTGTAATAACACTATTTCTATAGCAGTCAATGGCTCTGACTTAACTCCATGGAGGCTGCCATTTTGGGCACAGTGAGTTGCCTTTAGTCCCAGCTTTTGTTGTCTCACTCCCTGCCCACCCTCAGTAGGAAAAGCAAGAGACTGCCCCTGTCCTCCCTATTCATATATATGCCATTCGATGGACACATTGTGAATGTTTATGGTAAATTTTTTTTTTAAAATGCCTTGCTTAGCTTTAAAAACAACATGAAGTAATATTGCAATTTTTGAAAAACACTAGTTTTCCTTTAAACTTAATTTTCTGTGTTGATCCTGAAGCATCCAATTAAATGGTAGCACAAGAGTCTGGCAAGTTGGTACTGCAGAGAAAAGGGGTTAATTGAGACTTGTTTGGAGTCGGGAGTCCCCTTTCCCAAACATGCTTCTCGCCACTTGGACAGCAGCCATTTGTACTCGTATACTTTTTAAACTTTTTCTTGGAATGCTATATTTTATTTGGCTGATGACCTGATGATTCTGCTGACTTGTCGCATCGCTCTCTCTGCAGGCAGCCAAGGAGCAGTGAACAGCAGCTACTACAGTAGCGGAAGCCGAGCATCTGTGGGCGTGAACGGAATGGGAGGGATGTCTAGCATGTCCAGTATGAGTGGTGGATGGGGAATGTAACTGATCCTGATCACTGACTCTTGGTCACCGTTTTTTTAAAAGAAACAAAGTTTAACAGTTTTGCAATACAAGCTTGTGATTGATGCTTATTCTAAGTGGAAATCAGGATTGTTTTAAAAGACTTGAGGTTCAGTATTTTTGAACACAAACATTCATCTAGGATGTAACAACTGAGTAAACTATAACTGTTAAACAATTTTCAGCTTTTCTCTAGTTCTATTGTAGGATGTACTTAAGCAGCAAGTGTATTTAGGTTAAAGCAGTTGAATTATGTTAAATGTTGCTCTTCTACATTACATTGAACACTGTTGGGATGCATGTTGAAAGACATGCTTTTTTTGTAAAACTCAATATAGGAGCTGTGTCTACAATTAAAAGTGAACACATTTGGCATGTTTGTTAATTCTAGTTTCATTTAATAACCTCTAAGGCACGTAAGTTGAAGCTTTTTTTTTTTTTTTTTTTTTTTAAGTTAATGGGAGACTTTGAGACGCAACACCATACGTTAGGATTTTGGTCTTGGTGTTTGTATGAAATTCTGAGGCCTTGATTTAAACCTTTCCTTGTATCGTGATTTCCTTTTTAGGTGTATTGCGCTAAGTGAAACTTGTCAAATAAATCTTCCTTTTAAAAACTGCACTTTGTCTTGTCTGTGCTTCAGTGTCATGTGGACTGTTTCTTGGTGCTCTCTTCCTGCCTGGGGCGTAGGTGACAGTGGCCCACGTCTCTGGCTGTGGCAGAGAGGCTCCGCAGCCGAGGCTGTTGTGTAGATGTCGGCCGACTCCTCTTCCCTCCGGTGGGACTGAAGGTAAACGTAGCTTTTAGGGGCCCTTGTGGAAGGGCTGTGTGTTTGGCCTGGCTGCACAGGACCTAACGCAGTCCTTTTGACTTGCTAAGCGCTTGCACAAAACCCAGGGAGAGGTGGCACTATTGTACTGCATGATCTGCATGTCCCCAGATGCCCGTGGCAGGCATGGTTGAGAAGGCAGTGCCAGAGGCAAGGTGGGGGGAACTCACTAGGTAGGTGACCTTCCCATTCCAGTGGCACCTCTGAAGTTTTGCTTACATGGGGCATGGGGGAGGGTTCTAGGAGCTAGCTTACAAATGGCTTTCAAGTGGAGTCTTTTGGTCCTATTTTTGATAGCTAAAGATCAGGTCCACTTTGGGCAGAATTCATTCCTTATAGTGTCTGAGGTAGACTACTAAGTTGCATTTCTGAGCAAGGACTAGTTTAATTCAGTAATTGAAAACCATTTGTTTTGGTAGACCTCTGAGTAGCTGGCATTAAGCACCTTTTAAAGGTGTCCTCTCCAAAGACCCTTCAGTAGATCTTCCACTAAAGACTGAAGCTTAATAAGCCAAATTGAGGATCTGAATCCATTTTTCACGGACAGTGCTCAAGATTCTCCCCTTTGATCTCGGGTGAGACTACTACGCGTCTGTACATGGCAGCGTTGCACAAGGCAGCATTGCACAAGCACGTGCCACGGGCCCTGCAGACCCTGCCCTGCTCCATGGCCTCGGCACGGGGGCACTGCTCTCGTGCGTGGTGGAGGGGAAAGGTCTGCAGTGGGGCTGGGGTATGGGAGGGTTAGACTTGTCATGTGTCCTCTAGCTGGTCTGGTTTAGAGCAACCGTTTTGGGGGGAGGCACATCGGAGCATTTGGTCTTCAGCTGTGTTCTCGACCTAAAACTGCCCCTGGGATCTTGGCGGGGTTGCTCAGGGTCTGTGGAACTGACAACATGTTGCACTTGAGAAGGCCCCAGGAGGGTTCCTTCCCTGGGTCCTTCAGCTTCTTTAATCTGTGTTGAGAAAAGGCCTGTAGATGGAAGAGGAGGAGGGACTTAACTAGAGGCGTGGGGAGGAAGGCTGAGCAGAACCATGCGGCTTCTGCAGAGTGAGTCTTGGGCCATTCTGGTGCATTGGAACCTCATGCTCTGGACGGACCTGCCTCAGAACCCTCCGGGTGCTTGCTACCCGGGCCCAGGACCTCCAGATGCTGCTGGGAGTTCGCGTTCTCAGGTGATCTCTGTCCCTGGGTAATGGCCCTGTGCGTGTCCACGAGCAGCACTGCCCCAGGCCATCTGTGGTTCCTCGGTACTCAGGAAGGTTGTCAGCCTGAGGGTTCCAAAGTCCAGGGGCATGTCTGATGTGTGAGGAGAAAAGTTCTGTCTCAAGCAGCTAAATAAATATTTGGTTCCTCGTGGCAGAGGGATACCTGTTGGCCATCTGTTGCTTGTGGGTGGGGAAGGGAGGGGAGAAGAAAACTGGTTATGATACAGGGAAGAGCACTGAGCACAGCGCTGTGGTGGGAACATCCCACTGAGTTGAACAGTCCTAGGAGTGCGGTGTCTCCTGCTTGCTTTTCTGTGTGCAGATGAGCGCTAAGGCCAGAGGTGAAGTGACGTGCCTAAGGCTCCTCAGCAAGCTGGAATCCAAATTGGGTGCACTGAAAACAAGGTACTGACTTCTACTGCTACACCAGCTGGGGGCAGTGCAGCAGCACGTTAAGCATTTTTGGAAAAGCTGGTTCCTGGATGAGATTTTAAAAAGCTGCTTAGAGGAAGTGATGGAAGGGGAGAGGGGGCCTCTGGCAGCTGCTCTTTTCTTAAAAATTTTATTTATTTGACAGAGATCACAAGTAGGCAGTGAGGCAGGCAGAGAGAGAGGAGGAAGCAGGCTCCCTGCTGAGCAGAGAGCCCGATACGGGGCTCGATCCCAGGACCCTGAGATCACCACCTGAGCTGCAGGCAGAGGCTTGAACCCACTGAGCCATCCAGGCACCCCTGGCAGCTGCTCTTAATGCCATGTTCTTCCTGCTTCGATGGGAAAACCAGCCCGGAAGGAAGATGGCTTTGGAGCTGGGCCTGCAGATCCTGGGACCTAACCTTCCTGAGCCAGGCAGTGGGTCGAAGCCCACGAAGGGGTGAGGCACTGGGCAGTGAGCAAGGGGAGTTGACCAAGGCTCCGCAGACGGGACAGACTAGTCTGGACAGCACTATGGCACTAGTTTGGTTCCTTCACCTGAACATTCAAGACCTGGACCCGTCACGTGGGGGTGAGCATGCGTGGAGTCTGTTTCCACAGCTGACCCCTGCCTGTCCAGCACTGCTTGGAAAAATGGATGCCTGGCAGGTGCTTCCCACAGGTAACGCCACCTGGAGTGCGCTAGACGAAGCTCTGTCGTCTCTGGGTCAGCTTCCTGTGGCTAAAGGAACACCTTCTGAGCCGAGTGGGGGTAAGCTCACTTCCTCTGTGCCTACTGGTGGAGGTAATGGCCTGTCCTGACACGGGGGACACGGGGTGGGTCTGAGGCCTCCTGCAGAGGCTGACATTTTCTGCACCAGAGTGAAAAATAAAGGATTTTATTGCAGATCTTGAGATGCATTCACAAGGGTGTGACATGGCCAGACTTGGAAGCAGGGAAGGCACAGTGTGGGCAGGGGAGGAGGGGCACGGGGTGCTCACTACACTAGTGCAACTGCTGGAAAACCACTCAACTGTGTGAAAAGTGAAAAATGACAGTAGCAAAATCCTGAAGTTACGTGGGAGCCAAAGCTGGTGATGCGGCCAAGGGAGAAGGAAGAGTTTCGATCCAGACGCTCTGGAAAGGTGCGTGCCTCCCTGGCAGACCCTTCGAGGAGTGGAGTCCTTCCTGTGATTCCCTCTGGCAGCAGACTCGCCCAGCCCCCGTCAGTCCCCGTCAGCTCCCGGGGAACCCTCCAACGCTCAGGAGCCGGTGGAGGAGCAGCGCTGCAGGAGCAAGGTGTGGCAGCTGTCGCAGACGCGCACTGGCCTGGGGTAGGAGGGCAGGGCCAGCTCGTTGCTGGAGCATGTGTTGCAGAAGATGTGGCCACAGTGGCGGCAGTGGTGCTGGAGGACACAAGACGGGCAGTCAGGGTGGGCCAGGTGCCTCTGTTTGCCTAACGCCCTTGGAATCCTTCCCAAGAAGCTGGAGTCCATTGGGAAGGGGTCCTTTTGTAGACTTTGGCTCCTCCATGTAGAGTGTGGGTGGAGGGTGTGCGGTTAAGGCCCTAAAACGCGTCTTGCCCAAGCTGCTGCATGAAGAGCCCTGCTTCACTCCCTGTCATCCCTGCGCCTGCTGGAAACTCAAGTTTCCGTGGCCAGTGCCTCCTGCTGGGCAAGGCTGGTTTTGTGCAGGCGCTGCAGAAGCCTTGGGCATGGAGGAGACAAGGTGGAGGCAAGCGTCCACGTAGCTTCTGCCAACTGGCCAGTAGCCAACAGGCAGGACCCTGGCCAGGCCATTCAGGTGTGGGGACTGTGAGGCCCTAACCTCCCGCAGGCCTTGGGCGCGCACCTGATCTCAAAGGCCGTCTCAGGAGGCGGTTTCCACCTCTGGACCTAATGTGAGGCACAGGCCAGGATAGGGGAGTTTTCCTTCTTTTCCAGAGAGGCCTGACGAGACGCGGACAGGGGAGAATGCACAGCTACACGGTGTGGGGTTGGGTACTTTGTGGGCTGTACAGGTTTCCAATTTTGCTAGGTATCCGTGTCCTGCTCCTGTCTTGCCCAGCTGGTCCATCAATGCCCCAAAGGCTGGGTGCAGGACCTCCTGCTCTGGAACTGGAAGGCAGAGGCCGAGGCCCTGGGGGCACGGGCCCTGCCCAGGTTGCCAGGAAGCTCTAGGTGCCACGTGGATACCTGTCCCGAGACCCGTCAACCACAGGTTCTCTCTGGATTGTTTTTGCCTCATTTAACCAGGTTTTGGTCCTGTTGCTGACAATGAACCTTTATGCTCTGTACATGAGCAGCCCCAACTCCCAAAGAAATCTGCCCATCCTTGAAAGGATGGACAAGCTGGGAAGCCATCTGTGTGGGCCAGCAAACCAGCGAGTGCCATGGTCATGCAGTGGCCCCGGTCCCACGGGAAAGGGTGGAAGGGGAGGCCGTGTGGGAGCTGGTGCAGGGCCACCCCATGTACCTTCCTCCGGGAGATGGAGAACTCCTTTTCACACTGCTTACAGTTTGTGGCTTCATCATCCTTCAGCCAGGTATGGCCCTGCAGGGGGAAAGACCACAACAGAATTCCATTTTCCAGCTCGGCTCTTGATGGCCCCGTAGCCATGTTCTGACTGCCCACCATCAGGGTCTTTGGAGGGGCTGGAGCTCTGGTGCTGCAGATCGTAGATGGGGGAGGGGGGAGGCCCTGGTCCATATGCTAAGCCCCCACCCCTCAACACAATGTGGGGAGGTGGGACCGGAGTCTCTGGAGAGCTTTCTAAAGGACAGAGGATGGGCCATTTACTCAGCCGGAGAGACGGGGTGCTCAAAGGGGCCAAAGGCCTGATAAGCTTTTCTGGCTCCTTGGCATCTGGCGGCCATCACCTTCCTGGTGACAGAGTGACCTTAGGAGCTGCAGCGCAAAGCCCGACAGCTCATCC